GTCAAGTCACCGCGCGCTTCGCGGATTTATGTAATTCACAATGCCGCTCGTATAATTCGTAAGCCATCGGGCACTTCCCTCGCTCGACAAAACGCTCGCGGACGTCGTTGAATACGAACGACCCGCCCGACAACGATGATAAATCCGTGTTTCGTCGAAGCCATTATTCCGGCCCGACAATGGCGCGATGAAATGTAACAAAAATCCAGGCGTCGGGAGAGCTCCGAATTTCGAAGGGAACACGGAGAATGTTACAGTGAAATAATCGCGATCGCGTTTCCGAGGGTTCGACGAGATATTCGGGCATCAGAGACACTGAATAAACGGAGAATTACTTTTGCAACTTTCAGATTCGCGCGGAAATCCGGCTGGCACAGAAAAATGGCGGTGAAGCGTGTCGCGCGTAAGCGACACTGCGCGGCCAAGGGAATCGATTCGTTGGAAAGTCGGGCCCGGTCGCAGCCAGACTCGGTTCGCGCTGGAAATCGGCTCGCGGGCCGTCGAATCCGGTGAAAGCCACGAAAAACCAGCGCTTTTTTGCGGCGAACCGAGCGGATCCGGATCGATGGGGATCCCCGGTTCCAGGCTCAATTTGTGAAATTGCGATGGGGAACTCGGCCGGGATTCGGGCCACGTAGCCGGGACGATGATCGCCGCTCGAAGCCTGTGAAGCTCAACCGCTATCTTGGGGATGCTGTTGCTCCCGGAGAACCGATCGTCGGGGATTCGATTCAATTAACAGAGGCGCCGGAGGAGATAGCCCGGCTGCCAGGGAAAATCGTTGACAGCGAAGGCGTCGCTCCTCGAAGACAGAGCCTTATTAATCGCTCGTGGCGAGTATATCCGTTGATTTTCTACTTCGACAGTGAAGATAATCCAGGCTGATCATAGATAAGACCTAATTCAGACCTAGAACCTAGATCTAGTACAACCTTGATCCAGACTTAACCAAGATCTAGCCAATTGAAGCTTCTTCGGAGTTAAAAGTGTACTTCGAGAAGCCAGTGGCAACGCTCGTTACAAAGATTGATCAATTTACGATCAATTGGATAGAGTCTGAACCACCCAGGTGTCAAGATGAACGCGATCGTTGACTACCAGTGACAACTGATCGCTCGCTGGGCAACGAGGAAGAGTACGCGAGGATAGATCAAAGGTTAAGAGGAGAATCATCAAGCTGATAGAGCTACGAGATTCGTTTCCTGGCCGATTAGAGACGCTTTTCTGAGGCACACGGCCAGGATTAATATGTGCTTTGGACGAGTGCCGCGGGCTGGAAGTTGCGAGACAGCCGAGAACTCCGACGACAGCTGTCGAAAGGAAGCAGAGGGGACCGCGGAGCGGCCGGGCTGCCCGGGGAGATCCTATCCCGCGGGAATGGGTATGCTTCTGCCCGACGAGACCTACGAGGAACGGTCCTCGTCCTCGAGGCGCAGCTCCTGCCCGAACGTTCTCGCGGACATCGACGAGGTCGAGGCCGCCAAGGCTCTGGCCGCGTTCAGAAAGTGCGACGAGTTCCTCAAGAGGCATGGGATCAGGCCAGAGTTCTTCTGCAGGCACAGGGAGCGGCTCGCGTTGCAGACTTGGCTGTTGCAGAGGTCTAAACTCTCCTCTGGTGAGTCCTTTGTCGTCATTTCCTTTAGCACTGATGCTAGCATGCCTTCGGATCGATCAGTCACGAGACTACCTAGCAGATGGCTAGATTCTCTTCTTGGGTCTAAAGCTATTTGCATTTAGAACGTGTCATTCTACTCGCGTTATTGAATCATTACCTCTGTCGCTTGGACTCTTCGATCTAATCAATTTTCTATAGAATAACGATCTCGAATTCTATTATTAGGATTTTAATCTATTGGCTGCTGTTGGCGACCAAGGCGCTTTAACATTAGATTTACGGGTATTTACAGTATATTTATTTAGAAAGATTGATATTTGGTTATTTAGATTTTAGAAACCAGGTTAAAAGTAGACTGTGACTCAAATATTTACCGAATAATGTTTATAAAATTCTCGTTAGCGTCTCGTAAAGTTAGTCATAAATTATATAAAGATTATCTTAGTTTGCTCCAATTTACTTCAGTGTCTGGTTTCAATACGCTTTCTCAGAGACGCTGGCGCAAAATTCTAGCTTAACAGGGAACTGACCCATCGATACATTTCGATGATCGATCGACTCTATATACAATGTAGAAAGAAGTGGGATCGAATTGAATGGCGAACCAGTTGGTCGATTTCATATGAAGCATCCCTTCTAAGCGTCACCATTTTTTGGAGGACGGGTGGACAGGAGAATGGGTTTACATGGAGGCTCGCAGCTCTTTTAGCATACAAAGCTAACCAGTCGGATTTACTTGGACGGTTACACAGCTGTCTATCAGGGCGCAATTGACTCGAACACGGTTCCCGTGTTACCGTTAACAGATTTCGGTGGAAAAGAACCGCGCGCGGGGGGTGACAATTTACGCGCGCACCGTTGCGGACCGTTCCCAAGCTGTTCCAGCAGCGGCGCGTCCCAGGTAGGAACGGTTCAATTGACCGATCCGGACACGAGCCGTTAAATCGACGTTTCTCGTTACTTTCGCCGGTTATTTTGTTGCGGCCGGCTTTTTCGCGCAATGAAACGCATCGTCCGCCGGTAATTGGATGCGCCGCACCCTTTTCACCCGAAACCGACGCGCTTTCGTTAGCGAGCCACGTCGAGCCCCGGCCTCGTCAAAGAGATTTACGCGCGACCGCGGCTTTGTCCCGCGATTTCCTTAATTTTACGAGTCGCCTCTCGATCGGCTACAAATTACCGGAACGCGACGATGAAATTGCAGCCGGAATTCTGCGGTTCCGACACCGTACTGAAACTCTCCATTAAGGCGATCGTAAAGCTGAGAGGACCAGCTGAAAATCTTGTCTGCTCCGAACTCCTTTAAACAATTAACTTCCCTTGTGTTACAACAATGAGATGCTAGTTAACGCTCGAGTGCCAATCAACGCGATCGCGCTTCTCCGGTATGCTTGAAAGTGGCGGAATATAGGTTCGTATACAATGAAGTTCATTCATTATTCCTTCTAATTGTATACTCTTGTTGCCTGCTTAGAACTGGAACAAAAAGATCGTTCCATTCACAATGTTTTGAAATAATAGAGAAGTTTCACTCAGTTTCTAAGCTTAAACGAAAGGATTGACCACGTTTAACATTTTGCACTCGGGAGGTGCTTCTCAATCACCAACTGATTTCATACAGTAATATTAAGTATCAAATTTTATAGTTTTACTGTATGATATCAATTGGTTTTAATATTAGACTTCGTACAATCCATCAATTTGAGAAATATTCAAAGAAAATAGCTTTGTCCCTCTAAAGTGTGATTTCTCGTCGAGTTAGCTTCAAAATATCCTCTCTATCTCATCATAAGACGTTAAAATATTTCTAATGAAAAACTTCCGAGTGCCAAGGGTTAACACTAGAACTACCGAGCATTTAATACGATTAACATACAATTCCCATAAAAATTGTAACAATAGATTATTCTCAGTTTCTTCAGAAACTCATTATAGTACTCAAATGAAACTATTTCAAAATCATTTCGAATATTCAATGCTTCGAGGATATCAATAATTGCTAAACGTTAAAATACTTCTAATAAAAAACTTCCGAGTGCAAAGGGTTAACACTTCTCTACCGGTTTTGAAGACTCGTATCACTAAACAGTCAATGTTACCCGAAGAACGCAGAACAGTTCAATAAAGCCTCAATCATGCGCAAGTATTACGAAAAAACAGGCGAAACCCGGTGAAAGCAATCTTCCATTCGAATATCCGACTACTTGCCGCGTGATTCTTCAGCCGACCGGCCGGCTGTGGACCGTGTGGTTCATCGGCTAATTACGAAACCGAATAAATGACCGAAAACCGAGCGGGTGAGTTATCACCGAAAAGATTCCGACCGGAATCGCGTTCACGGCCGATCGAGCCGCGCCCCCGAGCGCTCTTCCTATCGATTTCCCGGGGCCAATTGTGCCGTCCGCAAACTGTTTGGCGATTTTTCGAAACGGTACGGCAAAGGCCGGCCCCCGCGCTCGCTCGTCCGCCGTTTGATGTTAATTCCGATTTCGAGCCGGGCCGCCGATAATTTCGTTACGGCCGGCCGTACTTAACGATCCGGCGGAAACGCGGCGAATTTCGCGGCCGAGCGTGCCGGGAGGGGGCATTAATTTTTGTTTTTAACGAGGACCCGGCGTATTTATGCGCGCGCCGAGGCGGGGAAGGGTCCGCGGCATTAGCACAATTGATTTAATGCCCGGCGCATTAATCGAGGCCATTCAGGCCCGCGTAAATTATGAATGGAAAAGTTAATTTGCCGGCGGCGGCCGTTGTTCCACGTCAACCTCGGCACACTTTATCCTCTTACAATGGGATCTGTGTCCGGCTCAGCTGGCTGCAGCCATCCTACGGAGCCGCGGCGAGCGATGAAACTGTTGTCGGAATAGCTTCGCGTGTTCTCGCGATGTTCCTCGGGACGTATCGGTTTCGAGCTGGAATCGTTTCGAACCTGGATATCCTGACGATTGAACGAGGTGTGCGTTACTTTTAACTGAAAGAGTTGTACTGTGAATTATTTGCTGGAAGCAAGATGATTAGATACAATGAATTCTAATTTTGATATGAAACACAACAGTTCTAATCTAGTATACAAGATTACACATTCTAATCTTTATATCGATCTAATAGGAATAATATGTAACTATAAGAATTGTAACAATAGATTATTCTCAGTTCCTCCAGACATTCGTTATAGTATTCAAGTGAAAATCATTGCAAACATTCAATGCTTAAGATATCAATACTCACGAAAGTCCATTCATTTAGTACTATTAATACTAAACAACTTTACAACTACTAATCTCTATTAACAATAGAATATTGCCAGTCAAAATAACTGGTTTCGATAATTTTAACATTGCAATTACAATGTTTCCTTGAGATAAATAATCGAACGTGGAAGATTTTCGGTTTGATCTTCCTTTACAAATATCTAACTCCGCAGTAGATCTTTCTTTATAAAAGTTTAATAATTGTAGAATAAAAGCTTCTACCAAGGAAATATTGTAATTGCAATATTAAAATACTCGAGTGGAAGATTTGCGAGTGTTCGATGGTGGAATTATTAAGAATTTGATAAATGATTGTAGAATAAAAGCTCTTATCAAATTCTTAATAATTCCACAATCGAACACTCAAATCTTCCACAAGTCTAACCTCCACCTGAAGCGATCAATACAAGATACTTCATTACAAATGCTTATTATTACATAAAATGAACAACTCCATTACACAAAGGCACAGTTCCCAAGAAAACACGGGCGAGAACAGCGGCCGATTTCGAGGCTGAGGTGTCCGAGGATGATCCCCGCTCATCGCGGAGGATTTATAATCGAGGCGAGCTCGCGGAACGATTCATTCGTTTCCTGTCCCCGCGAACAGGAACGAGTTATGGAGCTCGACACCTCGAGCTATTGCATCGTGCATTTCGACGGAACAGTTTAAGACCGAGCCGAGGTTCAGCTCGCCTCGCCTCGCGTTTATATCATCATCCGCGCGGACTGAGCCGAGTTAGCGTATCAGGGAACTAGTTGGACGTGGCCGGGCACCGTCTGCGGTAATCTTGTCTGACGCGCAGAACGAATGCCCGGCGTGTACACAAAGTTCCGTGGCTGGCTTGGCATCATTAAAATGCCCGCGTTTCCGCGGGACTGTTAACCAAACTCCGCGGCCCTTTTTGCGATTATACGCGTCGGCGTTTCACCTCTGACTCCCGCGCGACTGCTCCGCGCCGCAATATCCACCGCCGCTCCTCGAACCGCGTGCCCTCGCGATCTAGATTATAATCATTCATCCCCGAGCTCGCCGGTATCCGTTCTTCCATGACTTTTAACGTTGCAGATAATCACCGTGGAAAATTTGAAGTAATTGTAAGTGAAATAGACGATAAGGGTAAGTAAAATCGAGGAAGCTGCACGCTATTTGATGTCTGGATTTTAGTAGGTGGAGATTATGGGAAGTTAGAGTATGTAAGAGGAATAGAGGGGAGTTCGAATGAAAGGTCTATTTGAACTTTGCGACTTATTAGGATTTTGGGGAGTTTTGGAAGTAGAATGCTTATGATGTAATTGATTCTTATTATATGATTATAGAAGCATAGAATTTTTATTATATGATTATAGAATCATAGAATTCTTGTAATGTAATTATAGAATCATAGAATTTTTATCATATAATTATAGAATCATAGAATTTTTATTATATAATTATATAATCATAGGATTCTTATAATATAATTATAGAACCATGGAATTCTTATAATATAATTAATTCTTATGATACAATTAATTAGCATATTGGTAAGTTTGAAATTAGAAAGATCAAGCGGTCAATGGAAAGATCAAAGAGCTACGATCGTTTCAATAATCTCGCCAGACGTCGCAATCGCATTAACGCGATTATTATTTATAACCAAACAGCCATCAGCGCGGAACTTTATCAGGCGAAATTAACGCGTGATAAGCTCGCCCCGGTGTAAAAAGGAAAAGTGTCTTCTCTCTTTCAGGAAGTTTCGCTCTTAA